CATCCATCCATCCATGCCTCCATCCAACCATCCATCCATCCAACCATCCATGTATCCATTCATGCATCCAACCATCCAACCATCCATCCATGCATCCATCCATCCATCTTACAGCTTTGATTCATTTAACAGACTTGAGGAGCATGATCTCATCTTTACTGTTTGTCGTGATCAGTCCAGAAAACGCAACATGTAGCAGTAAACACCCAACAGCAGCAAATTAGCAAGCTATGACGTCACTGCGTGCTGACTGATGATTGGTTTGCTGCGGTGCCTTACCCTGCGGGTGACGGTGGGGTCGCGGAGCGCCTTGCCCATCAGGTGACCCAGCAGCGTGTTGGTTCTCAGGAAGCGGAGCCTGATGTTTGTGGCCTTGGTGAACTCCCTCAGTACTGGCGAGTACGAGAAGTTCATCGCCCCGGGACGGCCGTTCACCAAAGACACGACGATCTGAGGACAAAGACACGAAACCTGCAAACACCTGGCAGCTGATCGTTCCTCGGGTCAGCTGACCAATTCCTTGATCTGATGTTAGCTAACAGCTCAGAATTTCAACCTTTAGTCATCGTCTGCTTTTTTCTCACTTTCTGAGCATTATTTATCCATTTGGACCACTCGCTCGTTCCTTTGGCTGATAGATTTCTACGTCCTCCTCACTCATCTTTCTCCCAGCCATCTTTAAACTGATCTCGTTACAGAGTCGTTGTAATCTGATTACGTGATTGTCTCACCTCTCCATTCTCCAGCGGCACGATGCGTGAATACTCGGTGGTGCAGACGATGTCATCATCGTGGCTGATCCTCTCAATGGTGCTCTGTCCAAAACGCTCGATGCAGTCTCTCTTGGAGGCTACACACACACACACACACACACACACACAAGAAAACAGAAAAGTGTGAGACGTCTGAACCCCTCTCGTGGCGTCCTCAGGATCCACTTCAGTTGATGATTAGAGCATCTCTAAGCAGCTGCACCACAGCTGGAGTCATGTTAGTGAACACCGTTCAGCTGTTTCCACACGTTGTCAACAGAAACTACAGGTGCTCGTCCTCAAAAAGCTCAGAAAAGCACAGCATCACACTGTGGCTGGGCCCATAGCAGGATGCAGTGATGTCAGCAGATGTGGGAGGAGCTAAGGCAAGAAATTCACCAGTGATTGGTGGACACAGCCCTAAATTCTACATGGAAATACCCCAAAATACTGCGAGTAATCCTATTTAATGTCCACCTCTCAGAGCTTCTGAACTGTAGGCTGATCTTAGCACCAGCACCAGTACCAGTTACTGCACCAGTACCAGTTACTGCACCAGTACCAGCACCGACGCTGGTAGAAGAGAGAAAACAGCTGCGGAGATTATTCTGCAGCATTCTTTCAAATTAAAAGTCAAGCTAACCACATTTATGACATGAACACCTGCATTAAGCCGTCACCTCTTCATTTATCTGCCACCACCTCAGACACCTGGTGTGAGTCTGACTGAGCCACACATCTGCTAGTTAAACATCACGCTGCGACCTGCTGGCAACAGTCCTGGAATTCCCCTCCAGCTCACCTGAACTG